CACACATTTCCTGGTCTTTGCTGCCTCCTCCCTTTTCTCCTCCATCTTCTTCTTGTTATTGAAATACGAAATGCATACAGCCACATACGTACAACACTGAACTATCTCAAATGAGCACATCCATAGCACATGTGCTCAGGTCAAGAACCCAAAGGGGACCAGTCTTCCGGAAGCCCCGTTCCTGACTCTTTATACAACCCTCAGAGAAATCACTTTCCTGACTTCTAATGACACAGACTAGTTTTTCCACTTTCATACTTTATATAAACGAAAATCACAGAATTGTGTCACACATCTCCTGTTACTTAACAAGATGTCTACCACCATACCACCCTGAATGTGCTCCGTCTCGTCTGATCTTAAAAGCTAAGCAGGGTGAACAAGATGCCAATAAGCTTAATAGCTTAAAACAGTGGTCGACAAACTGCAGCTCTGTTGGCTAATGAGTTTGCCGACCACTGCCTTAGGGAAAACACTTACAAAACAAGGGACCAAGAGGTGATCAGTGCACCTCGTAGTGACTGGTTGAGCAGTCATTCTGGTCATTCTGCCATTAGGGTCAATTTGCATATAACCCTTTTATTATTGTATATAGGATTGAGACCTGGTGCACTCGTGGGGGCTGGCTAGCCTGCCCTGATGTGGGCCCCAGATGATGAGGGTGGGAACGGCGGGGCAAGGGACCATGTGGGGGGTTTGCAAGCCTAACACCCCCTGATTGGGGTGGGGGTCCCCACTGAGGGCGAAGCCGGTCAAGGCGAGGGGCTCCAGTCATTCTGGTCTCTGGTCATTCTACCATTTCAGTCGCTGGGCTTTTATCATGTAGGATTTCTAATGCCACTTCCTCTACAAAACTACTATTAACAGCTTCTCTTCTGATCCTGATTGCTACTATTAATATTAGTACCAATAAATCTATAATAATAAAAGCATAATATGCTAATTAGACTGAATGACCTTCCAGACGAAGCCGGTGCTGTGAGGGAAGCCTGGGTCCCGGGTGCCAGAGGGAAGCCAGTGCTGGCAGCTGGGGGAAGGAAGGCCTCCTCTTGCATGAATTTTATTCATCGTGCCTCTAGTATTGTTGTAATACTAGGGGACCAGTGCACAAATCGTGCACCTTGAAAGGAACTGTGGGCCACATGGCTGTGGTAGGCACAAGAGTAGGTCTTGGCCCATACTCCACGCCCCCATCTGGCCCCTCCTGCCATGACCCCCGGTCCCCTGTCTGCCAGTAGCCCCACTGCCGCTGCTCCCATGCACTGACAGTGCCGGCCCCGCTTGCACCTGCTGATGGCACGGAGCAATTGGGGCTGGTGCCAGCAGTGATTGCAAGCGGGGCCAGCACTGTCAGTGATGTAACTGCTGCCCCGATTGCCCCTCAGGAGCTGGGGGAGGTGGAGAAGCCCTCAGGGGTGATCAGGACCAGCAGCTACTGCTCGTACCTGCTGATGGCACCAAGTGATTGGGATCGGCGCTGGGCATGGGCACCAGCAGTGAGTGCGAGCAGGGGTGGCACTGACAGCAGGTGTGAGCGCTGGGCAGGACTGCAGCGTGGGAGCAAAGAATTTTCAGTAACCACCAGAGGCTCTCCCCAATGACAGCGACCAGTGCCCCGCCTTGGTCTGGCACCCCTGCTCACTTGCTCCACTATCCTGCCACGGCCAATGCCTGCCATGTTCCACACATGGCCCCTGGTGGTCAGCACATGTCATAGTGACCAGTTGTTCAGTTGTTCTGATGTTTGGTCTATTTGCATATAAGCCTTTTATAATATAAGAGGACGCTTGGCTCACTGCCCCTAGAGCAGTGGTCAGCAAACTCATTAGTCACCAAAATGTGGCTCGCAAGCCAAAATTTGCTGACCACTGCCCTAGGACATAAGATCCTTGGGGCAAGATCTTTGTTTTATTTGCTGATAAATTTAAGCTCTCAGAACTGCCTAGCACCTAGTAGCACTCAATAAATCCTTTTTATAGAATGAATGGTTCAGATTTTTGAGCACTTATTATGCAGGGCACTTTTGTGAATTATCTCATTCCATCCTCCTTCTGATGAGGAAGGAACTGTATTTATTTCAATTTTGCCTGAGAGGAAACTGAAGCTTAATTGCCCAAGGTCACAGTTGATACATAGCAAAGCTAGGATTTGAGTCCTGATATGTTCAAGCCCTAAATACTCTCATTGGCCACCTCTGAGCTTTGTCTACTGTGGTGCTTTGTGTAAAACTGTACTGCAGGCTACAGTAGGTTTTCAGCAAATTCCCCAAGCAGGTAGCACAGTGTCTCAGACATGTTTGTGTTCACCAGATGTCTATTGAATTAAAAAATGGGTGTACTGCCGAAACTGGTTTGGCTTAGTGGATGGAGTGTCGGCCTGTGGACTGAAGGGTCCTGGGTTTGATTCTGGTCAAGAGCATGTACCTTGGTTGCGGGCACATCCCCGGTGGGGGGTGTGCAGGAGGTGGCTGGTCGATGACTCTCTCTCATCGATATTTCTAACTCTCTATCCCTCTCACTTCCTCTCTGTAAAAAATCAATAAAACATATATATATATATTTATTTATTTATTTATTTATTTTTATTTTTTTTAAATGGGTGTGCTGCCCTAGCCAATGTGGTTCAGTTGGTTGGAGCATCATCCCTACACTGAAAGGTCACCAGTTCAATTCCCCATTGGAACACATGCCTAGGTGGCAGGTTTGGTCCCTAGTCCAGGCAACTGATCAATGTTCTCTCCCACCTCTTTCTCTCTCTCTCTCTCTCTCTCTCTCTCTCTCTCTCTCTCTCTCTCTCATCTCCCTCTCCCTTCCTCTCTCCCTAAAATCAATAAAAACACATCCTCAAGTGAGGATAAAAAAAAAAAAAAAAAAAAAAAAAAGAACTTTCTAAAACAAACAAACAAACAAAAAAAAATGGGTGTGCTGTTTAAGAGGCAGCATTTGGCAGTGAGTCCTTCTTGCATAATCAGTAATTCTGAGCACTGTCCTGATAGTTGCTACAAATCTCGGCCCAGATGCTGCCTCCTCTAACCTTTGCTTCTTCAGCACCATGTAGGCTCAGGGACGTCCCTGGCTGACCCACCCGCCACCGGGGGCCCAGCCCTTGCCATCCTTCCTCTCCTCTGCCTGTCTTCCTGCTGTCGGTGGCCTGGTCACGCAGAGCAAGCCGTGCCCCTCCCTCTTCTCTTCCTGACCCCACACTCCGCTTGAACCTGACTGCTTCCCTGGTCACTCGTGACTATCAGGGCAACATGACATTTATGTAGATAATTGGAACGCAGTGCAGAGTGTGATAAACACAGAGAGAGTCAGGAGGCACCAGAGGAGCTCCGAAGAGGAAGAAGTGGCTAGTTACGTGATGAAGGAAGGGGAAGTGAGTGAAGTTACTGTCCTTTTCATCCCAGGGAAAGCTATGAGCCCAAAGCTTGGCATACAGCCTGGCCTCAGGTAGAGATAGAAGTAGATGGGAAAACGGTCCAGGATCTGAGCAGCATCCTCTTTCCGTGTCTTATCCTTGCTGTCTGTACATCTGTTTCATTCTGGTCTCTCTCCTGACCTCCTCTAGTCCACAGATCTCACTGCGGTGTGTGGCTACCAGTGGCTACTGCATTTATAGTTGGCAAGACCATCCCTATCAAAATCACATAGAACATGACTAACTGCTATGCTTACACCCGAAACTAACACAAAGTAATGTTGAATCCAAACTGTCATTGAAAAGTACAATTAAAAAAAAAAAATCACAGTTCCCCAGGGAAAGATACCTGATTGGCTCACCACAAGTCAGGTGCCCTCCCCTGGTCCAATCATCTGCCTCCAATAGAAGAGGGGAATGTTGGATGGTTATGGCTGCCAGACCCCCATCTCTGTCCTGGAGGAAGAAGCAGAAAGGACCATTGTGAGTTGAGCAGATGCTCTGAAAATGTCCACTCTACTTGGTTCTCTTGTGAGAGAATTCTAGGTGCTCCCACAGAGCAGAATAAATGAAGAGGCTTCCTCTTGTGGAGACTGTTTGTCAGGGTCACATTCATAAAAAGGAATCACCCCAAATGCCTCAGAAGGTGTTCCAATGGTCTCCCTACACTAATCGTGTTCATCGGAGGTCTAAGCCAGGGGCCTCGCACACATCTCGAAGGCCTGTGACACGGCGGCATGAAAGACAGCCTGGCTGGGCATTGCTCCCCTCCAGGTCTTAAAGGGATGACACCCACACCTCCCCATCACCAACCAGGGTTCTCTCCTCATGCTAATGAGCCGGGGAACCCGGTCTGGGGAGACAGAACCCCTTCCTTGGAGGGTTCCACACCCTCACAAATTCCTTTTAAAAAAATAAATAATAAATAAAATTAAAAAAATATAAATAAATAAAATATATATATATATATATATATATATATATATATATATATATTATTGATTCTTTTATAGAGAGGAAGAGAGAGGGATAGAGGGTTAGAAACACCGATGAGAGAGAAACACCGATCAGCTGCCTCCTGCACACCCCCTACTGGGGATGTGCCTGCAACCAAGGTACATGCCCTTGACCGGAATCGAACCTGGGACCTCCCAGTCCACAGACCGATGCTCTATCCACTGAGCCAAACCGGTTTCGGTGACAAATTCCTTTTGAGAGAGCTAGCTTTGGCCACTGCTTCCTGAATGTGCTTCTTGGGCCAGGAGAGAGGGGACTGGGATAGATCTTCCTTTCATCCTGGTCTGGCCTCGCCTACTCAGTGGTCCATCAGTCCAAGGCTGGGTAGGGATCACCTGACACGTTTATCTCACGCGGAAGTCAGATGCCCAGGGCAGCTCCGAAACTGCGCTCCGCCCCATCCTTTCTGGCCCTGGCCCTCGGCAGCACGATGTCCCCTGGGGCTGGGCCCCGGAAGGGGGGAGGTGTCAGGGTGCTGCTCTGGAGGATGGGTGAGCCTGTCACTGTCCTCCTGGAGGCAGCTCCCAGCCCCCCGTCTCCTCAGTGACGCCTCTCTGTCCTTACAGGCTCCCTGGGCACGGCCGGCCGCGTGTGCAACCTGACCTCCCGGGGCATGGACAGCTGCGAGGTCATGTGCTGCGGCCGCGGCTACGACACGTCGCGCGTCACGCGGATGACCAAGTGCGAGTGCAAGTTCCACTGGTGCTGCGCCGTGCGCTGCCAGGACTGCCTGGAGGCCCTGGACGTGCACACGTGCAAGGCGCCGAAGAGCGCCGACTGGGCGGCGCCCACATGACCCCCTCCGCCTGCCCTCCGAGGACCACTGGGCCCTGGGCCTTCGGATTCTCCCAGGAGGCGGTGGCCTCTGTCTCCGCAGCAGCCTCTCCCGCTGCCTGGGGTCCGGCCTGGGCCCCCCGGGCTGCAGGAGTGCGCCCGCCCTCTCTGCCGCCAGCTTTCTGGACACCTCTCCTCCTGGCCGGTCTGACAGGTGATCCAGGGGAAGGGGTGTGGGCCCCGTCACTGTCTCCACCCACCAGACGGTTCCCCTTCCCACAGCCATTAGGGGCCCCTGGGGAACCAGTGTCTCAAAGGAGCTTTCTCTGCGTTTCCCACAAATGCTCCTGTAAAGTCCCTTGCTTCTCTCTGGAGGATAACGGAGGGAAAGCAGGTCTAACTGCCGCTGAATTGGCTCCCGTTTCTAAGACCAAGCAAGGCTTGTGCCCGGTGCAGCGATTGCCACAGCCTCCACGGGCAATGGCGGTTCCCTGGAGAAGGGTGGCTTTCCATCAGCTTTAGGGGAGGCGTGCATTGGGAGCAGCAAGAGCAGAAGCAGCAAGAAAGGAAGGCCCAGCATGGCTGTCCTCTCAGTACAAAGCACTGGTGGGCAAGGAGCCCTCTTTCTCACGTAGGATCGGAAGGGTTGAGAAAGCTGACACTGCCAGTATTCCACAGCTGTAGGGTGAAGTTGGAGGAAAAGAGCGTAGTGACTAGAGCATCAGAAAATGTGTTTCTACAGATAAGGAAAAGGGGACAGGATCAAATTCCTACCCGGGATGATGCATGTGACCTGTGGGATTTGGTAACCAGATAGCTTTGAGATGAGAACTTTGGGGGTGATAAGAGCAGGGATCCAAAATGCTGACCAGGAGGTGTCCAGAGCTCAGTCTGCCCAGACAGCCTCTCCCATGAGCAGATGGTTGGCCATGTGTGCAGAGGAGTACCAGTGAGCACTCACCACTCTTCATGCATTTTTTTAAATTTGCATTTAAAATATATATTTTATTGATTTTTTACAGAGAGGAAGGGAGAGGGACAGAGAGCTAGAAACACTGATGAGAGAGAAACATCGACCAGCTGCCGCCTGCACACCCTCTACCGGGAATGTGCCCCAAACCAAGGTACATGCCCTTGACCAGAATCGAACCCGGGACCTTTCAGTCTGCAGACCGATGCTCTGTCCACTGAGCCAAACCGGTTTCGGCTCTTCATGCATTTTAAAGACCTAGCATATGTAATTGTGTTCACTTGATGCTGACGAGATGACAAAATACCATAGCTTAAAGCAAAGGACACATAACCTTGCTTATCAAGTTGGTAACCCTGGTATGTTCTATTGCAAACCAATTGTAACTTGGACACCATTATATATGTAAGAGGCCCAGCCGTCATTATGGGAACATCAGGATACAGGTTGCTTTGAGCAAAAAGATGACCATCTGGGGGAAATGGAGAGGCTGCCTGTCCCGTTTTGTGTATTACATTTATAAAAAATAAAAAAATAAAAAAAGAAAGAAAGAAAGAAAGAAAGAAAGAAAGAGAGAAATATATGAAGGTCCTTCTCATCCCCTCCTACAACCTGGTTCTTGTTCAAAATGTGGTCGCTTCACAGAGCTCTGTTGAGTCACAGGAAGCTTCCTTACATGCATCTAACGTCAAATTATTCATACCCACTCATTCTTGATGTCATTGGCCTCTGGTTTCTCTGTCCTCACTTCTCAGCAGGACACACAGACGGAGGCCTCTGGGGACAGCCTGCTGGAGGGCTTTGTCATAGTGACCGCCGCCCTCTTAAAAACGGCTGCATCCACCTCCTTTCCCTCAGCCCCGAATCCCACAGTCAGGCGTCTGCTTTTCCCAAAGAGGCTCTGCCCTCTTCTATCCTATGGATGCGCAAGGGGAAGAGTGGAGAGTGACAGTAGCTACACTGAGTTCAGTGGGGTCTGTGGGGAGTGGGAAAGCCAGGCACTCAGGCTCAGCCTTCGTTACATGGACACTTGCTCTGAATGCCTCGCCAGGCGGGCAGAGGGACTCCCAGGAAACCCCAAAGCCATGAGCCTATCTTCCCGCTGGGTGAACTGTAAAGTAAGACATCCAGGGGTGTGTTTAGACATGGGAAGGGGCCTAGAGAACACCTCCGCTGCCCCATCTCAGTTTGTATTTGGGAAACAGAGACCGGGGATCTGGGCCAGGGTCAGCCCCTACGCCAGCGCTCCATCGCAAACAGGACCGCGCTCTGAGAGTTCCAGAAAGCTAAGCACTTTATCCGTTACATGAGACTAGTTTGTCTCAAGATCCACTCGGTAGATTCTAAATAACCTTAGCATCCAAAGGCAATGTTCCTGGGATGTTTGAATCTGGCTTTCTTTTCATGCGGGAGTGCCTCCTTCCTGACAAGGAGCAAGGGGACCAGGCTTGTCCGTGATCACCTCTTCACCTCTGCATAGATTGTCCTCATTTGTAGAGGCGACTCTGCCGGCCACCTAAAGCGGCAGCGGACGTGGCCCTGGTGGAGGGCGTGAGAGAGTGAAGTATTATACTTTTATCTGCCCTTCTGAGAGAGGAAATCTCCATTATTTGAAAAAATGAGGAGAGAGGTGAAGATAATTCAGATTCAGTTTTGTGAGGGCTTAGTGAGGGCGGATATTCCTTGAATCTAAAATGTACTAAACTCTTGATAGCTGAGGCTTTTAAGGGAGTGCATGGCACAAACCACACAAAACAAAACAAGAGGTCTATTCAGGTCAAATCCTCTAACAAATTACCTCCTGGTAAAATATTTACAAATTGAGGGGTTTTTTTTAGGCCCAAGAGGACATCCATTAATTTTCTGCAGTCTCTGAAAAATTGCCACACCACAGGCGACCCTAATTCACTGGAGTGTCTTCAATAAAGATAAAAGTCTGCACGTGACCCCGAGACTCAGCAAGTGGGTTGTTCTCTTCAATAGATGGCCTCCTGGATGAGTCTGTGGTGCAGACTGGTCTGTCTTCTGGGAGCACACTGTGTACATGGTAGTTACAGCCCCTGGGCAGCCTCATGCTCGGAAAGCTCGGAAAGCTCCCATGCCCTGCCTTCAGAGGCCGCTCACCTGCTGAGAGGCCTTAAGCTCAAGCACAAAAGCCCCCAATGCAGTCACCACACTCAGCTCTGGCCCTGTGCCCCGTGGGAGGGGGAGCCTGGCCTGTTAGACCACAGAGGATTCAGGGTGGATGTGGGAGGGGCATAGGGCACCCCAGTGCACTGACTACCTTAAACAAGTGTGGCCAGAGCATTCCAGAAGGATCTATCCAAATGAAGCCAGATGATGGGGAGGGGAGTGAGAGGGAAAGAGCCTGTAGCTGTTGGCAAGTGATCGGCTGAGCTCTTGTTGGTAACCTCCACCCTTCCTTCTGCTGTGGCTCCCCCCTCACCCCCACCCCCACCCCTCTTCTCGGCCCCCCCCCCCACCCTCCCGCCATCCGCTCCCAGTACCTTCTTCGAGGCTCAGAGTCTCAGGCCCTTGCCCAGATCCTCTGTACCTATTGTGTGGCTCTGCTAGAGTCTGTGGTATTCATTTTAAGAGATGTTTTCAATGGTCCCAACCGTATTTCTTTTTATTGGAGTTACTACGTAGCTTGAAAATGTCAGGTATCACATTTCTTTTTCAAAGAAGAGAGCTTTAACGCCAGAAAAATCTACCTTCTCATTGAGATTCCTCAACCGTGTTAACTTACTAAGAATCTTACATCAACTCCATGAGAACCACAGTACGGACGTCCTCTCTCCGAGGCAGCCACCATGATCGTGCATGCGCTCGCGCTTGCTGGCCTTCTCAGGCCCGGGTTTTGTTATTCCTTCTCATCTATTAGAGGCTGGCCCAGGGCTGGCGTTTTCTCACTCCGCTGAGGAGCATCCATCTCCCCTCTTGCCCACTGTCAACATAAAGGCTCAGCGAGGCATCCCATGGACCAGAACCATTCTTTTGTATTTGTTTACTGTACTTCAACCTGGCTTTTCTTATCTTAAGAGCAAGCGTTACGCTCTTCACAAATAGATCTCGCTGGTTCCAAAGCTGGTAAATGGCTCCTGTCAGGTCTGCGCTGACCTTCCGAAGAGCGATGCTCGCTGGGAGCTGACAGCGAGGTGTGCCGATGCTGACCTCCGTCCCTCGGCGGAGGGCACGCTCAGCCATCCGTGAGAATGCTCTTTACATTCTTCTGGGGATCAGCGAGCTGACAGGTGGTGTGCAAAGCCCGACACGATCCTTACTTTTCTAAATCGTTGTTGTTCCAGCTCTAGGACTTTTCCCCCTGGTGCTCACGTGGACGCCTGTTTAACCAAACCTCCCACTTCCACAAGCTAATAAAAGTGTCACACAGATTGTTACAGTGAACTATTGTTATTTACAAGTCTGCATTTTCTGTGAAATCACAACATAATAAAGTGACTTTCCCGTGTTGACTTTGTTGTTTTAATCGTGTGATGTCTTGCCAAGGCCGCTGGTGAGAAGAAATCCCTGCGGGTTCTGGGAATCATCCCCTTGTCTCTCTCCAGACCACACTCAGCACAGCTCGGTCAAGCGGAGGCTTTCAGGTTTGTGAAGATTTTCAGGGAAGACCGTTGGCCTGTCTTACTGAGAACTATTGTAGTGAATGAGTGGGCAAGACGTTTAGTGGATTGAAAAGTTATTCCGGGTGTCCACCCTGTGTCCCCCTGTGGTCATCATGCAAGGGCCTGCGCCCTCTTGGTGCCAGCATGCCTTGGCTTCCATAGCAGCCAACCATGCGCCCCCCGCCCCCCCGCCTCTGACCCTCCGCCAAGACTTCTCTGAATCATTGCTTCCCATGTATGTGCTTGCTCTGGTCTGAAATGATAGTTTCTGCTTGATTAAGAACATACAAACCCCCCGCCGCCCCCCCCCCCCCCCCCCGCTCTCTCTCTCTCTCTCTCTTTTTTTTGAGATCTGTGCATCCTTATTGTGTATACTGCTTATATGCGTGCAGTGAAAGCTCAGAATATGGAAATAAAACCTCCTCAGCAAAGGAAATCCATCCCCATTTTCTCCTCCCTAATGAACTGTTTTGGGGTTGACCTAACTAAGCAAGGTGCTTACTCTGCACTGTACACACCCCAAGGTGGCTCCATGGCCAGACTGCTTACTCTCTCTAGGATTGCATCGTTCCTTCCATGCTCAGATGGTCTGAAGAAGAGGTGGTGTCCCCTGTGTCTGTGTGTGTTTTGCAAAGGGCATTTCCCCCAAACATGTCTACCTGAACACTGTCAGTGACATGTCCCTGTTTGCCTAGCCCTCTGTGTGAGAGAGCTGTGCTGCTCCAGGTAAGATCTGCAGGTGCTACCCTGGCCCCCGCCCATTAGATGCCAGAAGCCATTCCCTGTTCCCTAATCGTGTCCCCAGACATTGCCAAATGCCCCTGGTGAGGGAAGGAGGTGGCAAAGGCTGAGAGTGAAACCCATTTTCAGTTCGAAATGCCTCACTGGGACATATTAGTTTAATGGGATGAGTCCTCAGCATGAATGTATCAGACCAGCTGGGGAGAAATCTTTTGGAAAAGATACAGTATTAGAACCCCTCACATCACGGGAGGAATGAACCGGGCTGAGCCTTAAAGCTCACATAGGCCGCTCTGTGTGTCCCGGACGGTGGGACTCACAGGAAGGAGGGAAGTTTGGCAAAGGTAAACAACAGTGCGGTTTTAGGAGCTGGCAGCGGAATTCTTCTTAGGAACTCCCCAGTTTCACAACACTCGGAGGGAAACACAGCCCAAGATATGGCCTGGGAGGTGGAGGAGTGAGAATGTTCTAGCTCTGCCTAATATAGTTGAGTAATTTTTAGTTTCTCAGGACAGAAAGGAGGGTAATAACCAAGACAGAACACAGCGAGATGGAGGAAGTCTGAGTTTCAAGCAATAGGACAGTGAGAATTTCTAGTTCAAGGTGGGATAAGGGGATCATTTGGCGGGCTGTTCATTGAAAGAACCCCCGACACACACATACACACACACACACACACACACACACACTGCCAGATGTCCCTATGCCAGGTAACACTAGACTTGTGT